ATTTACACACTACCTAAACATGGTATTTAAACAGAGTCCGTAGAGACGAGAAAAGTGTGCGACGTTAAGAACCGTCAAAACTACCAACCTACCGCTATTGCATAAAACAGAGAAATTGTATTCGTACCAACAAATAACAAAACGCAATAAAGACATTGGAACAAGAAAATCCACTAATTTACGATCTCAGAACCCTTCAAATTCCAATCAAAATTCACTTATCTAATCAATGGACCGATGTAATAGAAATCACTGTTACCCTCGGCCTTTTCCAATAAGGGCCTTATTACGACAGGCCCCTTATCCCCCATAAACTGACAGTGCAAGGCTAAAAGGTCTTACAGAAGGCGTGTTTATCAAGTAATTTCTGATACTGCCTCCGTTTTATGAATAGGGGTGAGACCCTTACTAATCTATCAAACAAAGGTACTGTTTCCATAAACTATGTGCTAAAGGTTCCTCGTTTAAGATAAGGACAGTAACTTGTGATGTTCATGGCTGTTATTAGGGTTGGTGACTTCCAAAGCGAGCTATTGTTCCTACATTTCGTAGATAGTAAATTCTATTTAATTAGTTATGTTGCTTTGTCAACAAGGAAAGGTGTTTTATGGAAGAAACAGTACACATAGATAAAGTAAAGCCAAGGATACACTAGTGCACAAATACCTGCGACACGTGTCGCCAGCGACGTTGGATGATGTAGCGCGACGTTGCCAAACTTTGGTCAACATGTCTGGCAACTTCAACGTCGCTGTGGACATAAGGCGCGCAATGTCGCCTTATAATATGTCGGGCAAAATCGGCAGTCTTCGTTTGACATGTCACCGATACATGTCGTTGGGACATCTGTCCCCTAGTGTATTCGGCTTTAGTCTTGTGTTAATTTTGTGATGGAAAAGGTAATTTAAAAGTTGTTTAGCATCCATAGAAACAAAAAATTTATAACATTTTTGCATCATTGGCGCAATAACAAATAACAAAGCACCACCTCCTACGATCATCTTGACACCCTTCTTTACTTTCAATCGCATCACATTAGCAAAGAAAACTCAGCATATACGGGTATTAAAATGATAACCAAGCCCTTTCATAGCTCATCTGTCAGCCCTAAACAAAGCAGGTGGTCCCAGCTACCTTCAGAAGCAGGTATTAAACTAAGTCAAGTCGCAGGTGCTCGGTGCTCTGAATAAATTTACGTCTAGCTAAAAGCCTGGCTAAATTGCGGCCTCAAACTTGCATGTTTGAACAATCTGGATGGTGTGTAGATACGTAGGGTTGAACTTGAAACCTCAATTTGGTATTAAAATGGAGTTTCAGAGTAACTGTTAACAGTTTTATGGATTTTCTGCTATTATTTGGAGTGCATCTTGTGAAAGTATGTCTACGAATATTTCATTTATCAGTCTCTAGATTTTTAATCAGAATTGTGTACCTAAAAGACGCTTTAAAAAAAAATAGTAACGTAACTTTCCTGATCATTCTTCTGAATAATCTTTCGGAGAAAATGTAGCATGATGCTATAGTTACATTCATAACCATCAGTTGTATTTTTTCATGACTTTGAGGATCCTTTGAGACCTTTGATCACGACTTAATAAATAACAGAGCATTTTTAAATATTCTATTCCTTAAAAGCTTGAGTGGTTTACCCTTGAAGACCCACTTGACTATAATTGCTAGTAAATCTGCTAAGAACAATGGAGAAGTACTGTTTTTATTAGTTGTTATTTTCTCACAAGACATAAATAAAATATAGTTAGGTAGATATAAAAATAATGACTCCACGTGACTTTTATTGTAATTACTTAAGTATGAACATAAATATAATCTTGTATTAGGTAAATTCATGCTAAAGGTATTAATTTTTATCGGTTAATTTAATGACATGACAACTAATTATTATTTATACGTATTTTTTACTATTATATAAAGTTGTGTTTGAACGCTTTAATCTCACGAACTACTGTTCCGATTTGGATAATTCTTTTTGAGTTGGATAGCCCATTTATCGAGGAAGGCTATATGCTATAAAACATCACGCTACGATCAACAGGTGCCGAGCAGAGCATGTGGAACCGCGCGGGTGTATCTAGCGTATTATAAAGCTGCGAAGCAGGTTGAGATAGTTGATTAAGATGTGGAATTCTTTGCCAGTGTCTGTTTCCTAAAGGGCGTGTCTAAGGTCCGAGTAAATAGGTTGTTTATTAGCAGACGTCCTTCATCGTAGGCTGCATCTTCGCTTACCACTAGGCGAGATAGTGCAGGTCAAACGTCGACCCACTTATATAAGAAAGTAACACTTAACCGGCATGCATGTATGACTAAGTTTATTAACATGACGAAAACTAGAGAAGTAAGGATTGTGTGGACTTCTCGCGCCTGGGTAAGGCGGGAGGGAGTGTCAGCCTCTTACTGACTAAAAACCACCCCATTCCTACTCCAGCACTTCGAGCCGGAGCCCCGACCACCTTTTACTTTCTCCGTGGCTTCAAGGATTGTAGTAGATGGAGTATGAAATTGACGTTTCCGTTAATATTATCGTTATTATTAAGTCAGGAAAATTATCGAAATCAGATAGAAGTCTGAAAATTCACACCTCTGATTTAAAAACACGTAAATAAAAACTAATACAGCTCTATGTCTTGCATTGTTGGGTTGTCTCTGTAATAAAATAATTTATTATTTTTACGTCATTGAACTAATTTAAAGTTTTTATCAAAATAAAGTCAATAAAACTTCTTTGCACGAATTCTACATAGCAATATATGTAACGGACTTTATATTCATTTATTTATGTATTCACACGTATTTTCATAGAAATAATTCGCTATCAATAATGTCCTACAATAAAGTCATTACGAAAACCAAATATTAACAATTAAGCGAAAGTTTTCTACGTCAAATAGATAAAAGTATTGAAATTCAGAGCATTTTCGATAGAAAAATACATTACAATGCATGATTCAAATTTCCGAATTAAATTTAAAATGTATTCAGGTCGAAAAACGGATAATGTTTAGCTGATGCAATTAGTAGCGCAAATAGATATATTATATGTACAATATTTGCGTGTACAGAACCTGTATATTTTGTACATATTAAGGCTACGTAGGTGCATAAGTATTTCTAGGACGTAAGTCAATGAACTTGCCCTGAGTTCGAAAGTATGAAGCCGAAAATATGAGTGCGAAAGTAGAAAGTTCGTTGCACGATGCATATAGGTTTTTAATGATCCTTCTACGAATTGTATAATTTATTAGTAGGTGCCTAAATACTAAATATTATTTTAAATATGGTACAGTAAACGTTGATGTTTTTGTTTGAGTTGGAATCTTAAGAAAAAACTGCTGATTTATTCATGTGGTAATTAACACGTCTGACATAACTTTACGCTTGTTATTCCCTCGTATATGAAGGCAGAGGTATGTTTTATGTTCAAATTGTGGTAAATATTGTGCAAGCAAACACTTTGGAATAGATTATCCCATGGTTTTTTTCAATGAAACCATACACATATCGTATCAACCCCTTGACCCCTTCCCTCAAACAGTACTAAAGATTTAAATAATGATGCCACTATTTCGTGTAATATCGCGACTAAATTTGGTATTTTGGAACGACCACTAACTAACCACATAAACTACGATAGGTTTTTTTTTCTATATTTGATGGGGCGACGTTTGACCACTATCTCACCTGATGGTAAGCGATGATGCGGTCTACGATGGAGCACGTCGTCCCATAAGCCACCTACTCATTCATTAATGATGTTACATTCATAAAACAGTATAATAACTTCCACGCAACAGCCTAGGTTTTAAAAGAACCAGAAAATAATCACTCCGACTGTATGTATACGACATTCCACATAAACTGGGTAATGCAGGAAATATCACAGTGAATACCCTCATTAGGGTTCCAACCGTTCACTTTTTGCCGGCTTTAGGCTTTAGGCAATGCCAAGTATTTCCTTTGGCTCTGATTCTGTACTAAAGCCTACATTTACTCGAGCTATTTTGGGGGATTTTGGATCTTAAACGGGGAAGATGAAAGGAAAATTGGTAGAACTGCGATATATCGGAGTAATTTAGTTTTTTGTATATTGTCTAGCTCTGTATTTATATGTCATTCTTTGATTACTTCACAATTTTTGGAAAAATCACTGATTTATGTAACATTATGGAATACCCCTTTTTAAGTGAAGACGTAGCCACAATCGTAAATTAAGTAATCGTAACAACAGCGCCAGTGAGTTTGAGTGTGCGTCTGTTAGGTATTTTTAGGCCGGGCATGATACCTAAAATGTCTAAATCTTACGTAAAATCAATCACAATATAATACTATAAATAAAACGTTTCCTCGCAGACGTGAGAGTTAAAGTAACATCGAATAAAATCTTTCGATTCCAAGTAAGTAGGCAGGTATTCTATAAAAATAGACATGTTTACAGCCCTTTCGGAACGTTTCGAGGAAAATGAACGTAGATTGATAAACTAAATGTTCATCTCACTAAAATAAAGTAAATATAGTAATGGTTCTGTAAGTTCCAGAATAGATAGGCTAGTTTAGTTAATTATGTTTATGAAAACAGTTTTGTTTACTAACGTGTTTTAGAAATTACGCCAGCATTTTGCAAAATGCCTATAACTAGAGATATATTATCAAGTTCAACAATTCCTTCAAAATTAAAGTCGACTTAGACATTATTACCCATGCCATTTTCTACGTACTTTTAACTCATTGCCCGAGATTTTTTTCTAATCTGTTACATTTGACAAATGACATCGTAAACATGACAGTTAATGCTGTCGATAATACAGTTTATTTAGTTGGTTTTGTCATCTAACAGTACCCATTAAGATATCGATCACACGAAAGTAGACCGTACATACATGGCAAACGTGTCTGATGCTTTTAATGTGCATGTAAACTTCATGACTTTTCCTCAAACGCCCGTAGGAGAAACAGATAATAAAGAAGAAATATGTAACTCCACTTACCAAGCAGCAGCAGGATGAGCGGATTCTGGAACTGTTCTATGTACTTCTTCCATAATGGTTCCTGCTCCTTCACTTGGAACTCGTTGGGGCCAACAAAGTTCATACGATCGTTTGCTTCCCGCCATGAGAGGCCGCGGCGAACGTCCACTTTCAGACGTTCAGCCACCTGGGGAAGAAGAAAAAGAATTATAATATATGTGTAGTAAACTTAAATCACTATACTTAAAACAGCTACCAAAACTGGACCAGGTCCACGTGGATCCGGTTATCAACAGACAGTGGCAACATCATCATCATCATCTGCAACAGCCTATAAACGGCCACCGCTGACCAAATTCCTCTTCTCACACGGAGAGGGTTTGACGATTGGCGATTTCAAACTTATAACTAAAAATTATAAGCCCAGGTTTCCTCAAGATGTTTTCCTTCACCGTTTTATCAGTGGTGTCTAAATAATCTTGTTAAGAATATATAACTCGGAGAAATTCACAGTGGTACTTGACGATGGTAGATTTTGAACCCTCACTCTCATGCATGAGAAATGGGCTTCTTAAACTTAAAACTCCAGGCCACCACGACGTGGCGTACCTCACAATGGACCTGTCTACATAATAAGATGGTTTGCCTTAACTAAAAAACATGGCAGGTGGGTGAGAGATCACAGTTTAAAAGGTTCACATATATTACAGAGCGATGCTGTCCAGTATCTGTCAAAGGTGTATTGTGTAGTATCTTAAGTTGGCAAATACGACGGGAATAGTAGGAGTGGTCAATTTTCCACTTTGCTGTCACCACATCGCCTGTTACGAATGAAGTCGGTTTTTGACTGCCTGTCGTGACAGACTACCTCGTTGAACTAGTGGTCGCAAGTGCGACTGCTGGGCAAGGGGTCTCGTGTTCGATTACCGGGTCGGGCAAAGTAATACTAAATTTTTAAAAAAATCTCACGTAGTCTGGAATTGTGCCCGGTATATGGCAATGACTCACCCCCTATTACATGGGACTCATAACATAAACAGGGAAAAGTGGGTGTTACATTGTACAGTGGCATAATGTGCACCTCTGCCTACCCCTTCGGGGATAAAAAGCGTGATGTTATGTATGCATGTATATTATAAATAAATTCTAAGCGAGATGTCTTAGTAATCATAATAGACGATACCGTTAAACATTAAGGTCCAAGGATATTTGAAGGTAATAGGATACTTATTGATTTTTTATGAATTAATTATGCAAAGCTCAATATAGTTAAGATACCTACTTCGACAGATAGGTATACGATATTAAGGCGTCCGAGACGCCCTAGACAGACAAATATCGATCAGATTAGCAATACCTATCTATATTAAACACGGGCCAAACAGTGCCCTTAACTGACGACAATCAATGACAAAAACTTGATTTTATACTTTTAAGCAATTAATAATTAGCCCAGTTAATGACATGACGATAAAAAATCGGTTTACTAAATAAATGACATTCTATGACTTTCTAAAAACGGCTCCATGTCACCAGTCTATCAGACAATTTTCCATTTTAGATTAAATCATTCTAGCAACAACAATAAACTTGGTATCCCTTGTCAGAGCCAATTAGTCTTAAGTCCGTCACGTAACCTCGTTTTCATAGGACGAGACATCTATCTGTGCTTAGGGCTCGTACACAACACTGCGATGCGAATTCGTAACGCAAAAAATTACGATGCGAATTCCTGCGATGCGATTTTGTGCGACAAGGCGTCTCCCAGGGTGACCATTCCTTCGACGACCGTAAACCGTACTAAACGTATTTTAAATTGAAAACTAGGTCGTGAGATGGATCGTAAAAAGAAGTGTGCACTTCTGTTATTGCTTAGGAGTTACATGTAAATGTAACAAAGAAGATTTTGGGAAATAAGATTTTGATGCGCGATGGGAATCAATTCGCAAGTTCTTGCGAAGCGTAGAGGGAGCTCGCACATTTTTGCGATGCGACGTCGCAGCGCAGTTTTGTGTATGAGCCCTTAGTAGGTATTACTTTATAACAGAAGTTAAAAAGGAAATACTAGATGTTAAGTCATATTTTCACTTTTATTTTTGTAGCCTCAACTGCTGGCGTTTTTTATTACCGTGTGCAATTTGAAAGATTGTCGAAAAGACTTCAATTTTTGTACTTTTCTGTCTAATAACTTAATCACATCAAGGCCGTTTTTTTTCAATCATCAGTTAATTTGTATCCGTAGAATAAAATTGACATTATTTGACAGTTTTTAGTATGGAAGAATTGTCAAATATTCTAAGTTATTCCTCAGTTAAAATTTCTCTAGCGTTGGAAAATCGACCCTTAGAATTTAAGCCAAAAGATCAAAATTCGTCTATATCTATAAAGTTTTCACAATACAAAAGAAGGCCTAAATAATATCCAAAACGAACCCCGTTTTGTCAGTTAATTAATAATTTAGATTGATAACAATTTCTTAACTGTTTCGTAGACAAATTGAGAGTATTTATTTCAATTAGAGCAATTTAAACTTTAGGGAGTTCATTTTACAGTTGATGTCTGTCATTTGAATTAGTAATTTAAACTTGATCTTTATAATGGGTATCGATGACATCTTTGAAAAATACATTGTTTTAGAAATAACTCATTCCCCTATCAGCTACCATGTGTATATGTACCAGCTACTATGTGTTACCATGTAGTTAAATCCTAGGCATAAGGAAAACATTAATAACAGGAAAAAACCGGCTACAAAATTATCTAGAACGATTCGAAGATACCTTTCACATACTTCCCAGACTTAATCAATCATTTGTCTAGACTTTCTTACTACCCCACCTACATTCACTCAACAAACCAGAACGAAAAAGGTTTCCGAAATAAATTGACCAATCAGAGAGGTGCGTCAGGTCTGATTTAATCTGTACGACCCATTCCAACCAATCACAAGTGATTTAGTCGCAAGACGTGACTACAGCCACCAATTACAAACGTAGATTGGTTTGAAGATAGTAATCTGGTAACAATTGAGTAATTAATTCGTTTAAATGATGATTAAGAGAATGATTTGGTCAAGTAGGAACATTTGGATTATTATTCTACAGATAGAAAGTTAGATCACGACATTTTTTTATGGTATAGGCAAATCGGCAGACGAACAGACGGATCACCCGATGATAAGCAATCAACAAGAACAACCGACCATGGACACCGGCAACTCCCCAGAAATACAACTGCATTGCCGGCATTTTAGAAATCGGAGATTTGGGCATTATGGATTGGGTTTCTTATACCCTTATTCACACGTTTGTAAGAAAAGAGGACTCTTAAAATATTGATATGAAAGTTTTAACACACAATACATGTTATACTTAACACAACTTGTTCTAAAAACTTGGTACATGATGATGGATGACCTAATCTTGCTTATTCTTTGACACAAACTATTGAAGGCATACATTATTTATATTGATATATGTTTGGGTTACAGAATCCACGCAGTACCTACCGACAAAATACGTTTTTCATAAGGAAAATATGTAAATATCGGAAGACCTGTACAGAATTAAATCAGCAACACCGAACATGTTGGTTCAATGCCTACAGCGCATTTCCTACCTGATATTCTACCTAATATAATAAATGGAAAAGTACAATCGACAAGTTAGCGGTCGACCAACAGTAGGCGATATTCGCATGCACTCGGCGCGCATGACCACAGATAAAACACCCGGTGGATAGCGAGTTTACCATATGACTTTGTAAAAAGTGTACTATCGTAAACTTTGCCGATAGTACCTTTGTTTACTATATTTGTTATCTCTTTAAGCTTTACCTACTCAGTACTCAACCAACAGTAAGTAAGGCACCTACATTTAGATTTTCAAAATCGCTGTAGGTACAGCATATTACCTGAATCCAGCCAGAAATATTTATTTCTTTAATTATTTTATTATCTTGTTGCATTTTTTTAAGGGGAAAATCATCCAGTGACTTCTCCCGCCTGGGTGAGGCGAGAGGGAGTGTCAGACTCTTACTGATTAAAAACCACCAAGTTCCTGCTCCTGCACTTCGAGCCGGATCCTCGGTGACCCATTAAGTTCTCCGCGGCTTGTGTTGCATTTAAGGTGCTTGTCATGTTTACTTTAGGGAGTTACGACTATAGGTCCACCACTGCGGCGGAAAGTAAATAAATATTTAAAATATTAAATAAATTGTTTTAATTAAAATATAATACAATGTATAGACGGTAAAGACATTTATCATTGGAAAAATTATGACAAGAGAAAAAACAAAAGTATTGACATATTGTATTGGAAGAAGAAAATACTAAAGAAAAGAGGTGAGCTAACTAATAGAGGTAGTAAAAAGTACGAATATGAGGAAGGTCTAGAATAATGGAAGATATAAATAAATGAAACGTAGGTGAGCAGCCTACATCACCCCCCTCCAGAGACCGCCAAGGGCGATAAAAATCTTACTCGCCGTCCAGAACGAGTGGTGTATTCTTTCTGGGTTTCTGGAAGGGAATCTGTGTGATCGGATAGCATGAAGGCTGGTTTCAGTCGGTCTATGGAGACCGTCACCTCTCTGCCCTTCTGTAAAATCCTAAATGTTTTATTATCCCGGGCTAGAACTCTGTAAGGCCCTGAGTATGCCGGCTGTAGCGAACCACGTGATGCGTCTTCACGAAGGAAAACGTGATCAGTGGTTGCGAGTTCTTTGAATACGAACACTTTATGCTTGGTATGTCGTGAAGCAGGTCTTGGCCTTAATTTCTCAGTGATATTTCTCAAGCGAGCAGAAAACTCCGACATATCGGAAGTATCCACTGAGGTTGGTTTGTCAAAAAACTCTCCAGGCAATCTTAAGGGTTCTCCATAAACAAGTTCGGCAGATGAACTTTGGAGATCATCCTTAAAGGCAGTTCGTATGCCTAACAATACCCAGGGCAATGACTCTGTCCATCTGTCGTTACCGTGACATATTATTGCGGCCTTAAGTTGACGGTGGAAACGTTCCACCATCCCATTGCATGCAGGATGATATGCAGTGGTCCGTTTGTGCTGGAAACCGGCTATTTTCGATAAACAATCGAATAAAGCAGACTCGAATTGACGACCACGATCAGTTGTAATATCCGTGGGACATCCGAATCGAGCAATCCACGTCGATACTAATGCCTTG